GATGTCGCGTCAGTCAAGAGGCGGAAGCGCAGCAGGGGCAACAGAGTTGTAATGAGACGCTTTGGGTTGCGCTTGTGGGTCTCTAAGTTGGTCGAGGCTGGCTCAAAGCCACGATCCAACGGCTAGGCCGGGATGGCGCCCTCGCGTCCGGGGTAAGTAGGACAGCCTGGTTGGCCACTGCAGTCTCTTCCCGCTAGGCAGTGTCCCCCCTGTCGACCTGGTCTCCAGACACCTCTCACTCCACTGCTCCGTGGTCTGGGTTTCATTTAACACCTCCACCAGGTCTGCGCAGTTCTTGCACATTGTTCAGCCGCCGCCCCCTCCATTAGCGCGACCGTGGTCATTAGTGGTCACCAGGAATAAGTGGGAGGGGAGAGAAGGGAGAAATAGAACCCTCAAAGTCTATACAGTAGACAAGGGGGTGTCCAAAAGTTTTTTAGGAAATTCTATTATCTTTCAATTTCATTTTTCACACAGACTTTTTGAAGCTCCCACTTATAGTATAGACTTCTGGTGTGGCGCTGTAGGATAAGCGCAGGACAGCAAGGTCAGTTTGAAGCACGAGGTTGGCAGTTCAAACTCACTAGTTGCTCCTCAGAAACCCTATATTGGGTAGCTGAGTCAGAACGGATGGCCCACCACCACCACCACCACATAGTATACAATATGTGTCAAGTTGATTGGCCAGAAGAAAAGAATGATCTCATTGGTTTTCTAAATCTGGAATAAGGCTGCCCAAAGAGATTAAGCTGGCCCCAAACAAAGAAGAACTAAATATCAATTAAAAGAAAAAGTGCCGAACTGTGTGCTGCGGTGCCATGTGCACGCGGGGACACCAACTGTAACTATAAATGAAGCGCGAATATAAATCGTAAATGCCAGGGACTTTCACTGAAGCATTTCTCCTAATACAAGAACCAGGTGACACATGCAGATGCTCCTGTTGTCCCCACTTTCCTGATGAGGGAGCTGAGGCTTGGAGAAGTTCTGTGCATTGAGGGGCTCACTTGACTATAATGGGGTGAAGCCGGTAGCTTCAATGATCTTCTGGGTTTTAACCCAGTGCTCTTCCCATGCCGACAGCTTGGGAGATCCGGTATCCTTCCTGAGAATGCCCTTCTAAAATGGGGCCCTGTATGCCCCAGGCTAGAGCCCATGGCTCTGTTTTCACAGATGCATCCCCCACACCTGGTCCAGCGCCTGGCATTTAGCAGATGCTCAGTAAGATCAGCTATGGAATCCAGGACTCTTCCTAGACAATGGGGGTATTTCCTCGCTCCTGCCTGGGGTACACTACATCTGCATCCGTCAGGTTCTGGTTAACTGTTTAATGTAATTATGAGTAAACATTAACATGCTTCTCTTACAGTAAGTGAGTAAGGCCTCAAAACCTACTAATGACATTCTGGTTAACTGTTTAATGTAATTACAAGTAAACATTAACATGCTTCTCTTACAATAAGTGAATAAGGCCTCAAAACCTACTAATGACCCTTCAAGACTGTCAAGGTCAAGGAAGACAAGGAGGGATGTAGAAACCGTCACAGGCCAGAAGAGACTGGGAGACCTGCCAATCAAATGTCACGTGGTGCTCCGGGCTGGACCTGGGGCAGAGAGAGGGCCCCAGCGGGGAGACTGGTGTTTGTGGGCAGTGCAGTTCACAGGAAGATACCTGTTTCTGCGTTTTGACAAATGGGCTTTGGTGACAGAACGATGGTCACAATGGGGAGAACTGGGTGAGGGGTTCATAGGAAGTCTCTGCATTATTTTGTATCTTTTCAGGAAATGTAAAGTTACTCCTGCTAAAACAGTATGAAAACCTAAAGAACACACAAAACAGTGCTCCTGGGAGAAGATTCACACTCCTGCTATTAATACAGATACTTCTGGTTCTGACGCCTACTCCTGATCTAGCGTGAATCCTCCTGCTATCAATACTAATGCGAATACTGCTGCTCTTTATCCCACTCCTGGGAGGGAGTGCTGATACTCCTGCTATTAATACTAACACTCCTGCTATTAATACTAACACTCCTGCTATTAACACTAACACTCCTGCTATTAACACTAAC